AGGGGGATGATCGCACCACGTTGTGTTAAAATGGTCAAGCACCCTCCAGGCAGTTACACAGTGCTTATATCTGTCTCAGGAAGTGAAAGCACCAGGAATTAAATTAAGTCATCGCAGCTGTTATCCGTACGCAAGGAAGTACGCACAAGATGCCGAACACCCTTAGCAGGATGCAGCGCACCCTTCATGCGACTCGCCGAATATCTCACGGCGCTTCGCGCTTGGTGATGTGAGAGCCTGGTCCGGTGAGAACCCGGCGTGCTCCGTCCCGGCTTTGTAGGGATGCGAGGTCAATGGTCTAACGACTGCGGCATGCACGACTATGAGTACCCCCCGCCCCCCCCTCTCAATCCCTCCTACCTGCGCCCTTGCTGGGAATGAAGGTTTGGAAAGCGTGGGTAGTCGGCCGATTCAACGCAGCGTCCGACAACCGTCGGCTTCAAGAACATGTGAAGCATTGGCATGCGTGGCAAAAGTGGTGGAAGACGCGTATGGATGCTTTCCACCGGGCGGGGGGTCGGAGAGTCTTGGCGTCGGCCGTACGCCATTGGAGGCTACAAATCCTCGCCAGCCGTTGTCGACGGAATCGTCACGAGAAATGGTCCCAGCTCCTCCGTAAGTGCCTTCTAGCTCTGGCGGAAAACGCACACTCCGCGGTCACTCTCCGTCGGCTGTTGGAATCCTACCGCACGCGGCACCTGCGCGATGCTTTGGGGGGATGGCGGTGGTGGCTTTCGCTCGAGACTCAGAAGAGAGTAAAGAAGGTACCCACAGCTTTAACGAGAGAAAACAAAGGTGTTAATACCACTTGTACCACTAGGTTGACGCATCGCCTGCATCTGGGAAATCCGCGCAAGGTTCACTGCCGCTGCGTATATGCCGTCAGCAGGGGGCAGCGCTGCACCTGCGCCCCCCGCTCGCACCTCCTTCGTAGGGTGGAAGAGCTGCACAGATTGGTGGCGAAGGGGCTGGACGGGACCAACGGGGGGTACCGCCTGCTAAGCCACGTCGTTCAGAGGCCTTCGGTCCCTGCTGAACACCGAGGAGTTCGTCCGAAGGGACTCCATTCATCTCCGCGCTTGGATTCTAGAGGAAAATCGATGATTATATGTGACGATCCTCGAGAGATTACAAGCACCTGTGCAGGTCGCGTGGAGGAACGGGCAATATACGCGCCCCGTGACGGCCAACCGGAAAGACACGGAGTGAAAAAAACACATCCGGCGGGGGGGTCCAGCAAACGAGGTCACTTGCCCAGGAAGTTGGCCAGGCGGCATGTCTGTTCGGTCGAGGCACAGATCGCTGGCACCACTTCATGTCGGGTTGTCTCCCATGAACAGAGGTGGGTGTACATTATTCCTCTCTAGCTCGGAGGTCATCCTTTGTTTGCAGTTTCCAAAGCACTTGGTGAACGAACTTACACGGCCACCCATATTCGATGGCTGCCAGCGTTTTCAGCCCCTCTTTCTTCTAACAGTATGGCTCCTTCAAAGACTGCCGACCTGTAAACACCCGGACTTGCTGCTCACCGCACCGAACATATGCCTCTCGACTTTGTTTCCATACATGAAACCTCATGAACGATGTGCAGGCGCGAAGACCGAAACGCTGGACGGGCACACACTTATCGAAGGCTCCGTGCTTCAACACGGCGTAGCGATATGACACACTGGTAAACCACCATAACGCGGGTGACCTAATCTATGCTGGATATGTCGAGCCCAAGTGTGTATCACCGTGTCTTCTTGGTGACACACGGAGACACAGCATCGCTTGCGGGTGCAGAGAAGCGTTCTGTGAGCCTGCAGGTTTTCGGTTCGCGAATTATCTTTGCCGCTAGATATTCTCGAGGTGATTTCCAGTCTGTACATAGCTCTACGCGCTTTGAGGTAGCAACGCGCGATGCGCGGAGAGTGTCTACTCCCCACATTTCACGCAATCACCACATGTTGTGCAATGATGTTTTATACCCGCTGCACGGACCTGAGCGCGAAAATATGGGTAGGAAGATGACTCATCCAAGAGCTCAAAGGCGCCACAACCCCGCTGACATTCGTTTCAATCCGTCCAGCACAGGTCCACGTGGAATCGTTACTTGTGCTACTAGCAACGGATGAGACGTGCCGGTTGGAAGCATACAGATCCAGCTAGCCAGCAGATGTACGTGTGGCGGCTTGCGCAAAAGAAAGCGCGGTCACAGATCGAGAGCATTAAATTTACCCACACCCTTAAAAGCACACGACGAACAAAATGTCTGCTGAAAACGGCGTGACATGGATCATTGTCAGAACCCTACCTGGAAACGATTACCTTCCCCCCGTGGAAACGTGCCCACCTCGAACGTTGTTTAGATACTTCAACACCAAAGAAAACATGACAATAACGTCCATATTCCAAAAACATCCCAGAAAACCGAGTCACAACTAAACTTGGTGGTTCATCCAAGGGTATTATCCATAAACCTGCAGATCGAGTCGTATAGGCTGAACTGTAGGCCGATCTCCAGGCACACCCTGTTGAGCACGAACACACAACGAAGAAATCGCCAAAGACGCACGGGGCGGGGCGGGGACGGATGCGGGCGACAGCGGCGATCCGACTCTGAAGTAAAGTGAAAGTAGTACCAGGCACCCTCACTCAGTGTTGGCGTGCAGCAGCCATGAGGGAGTCAAACTTGTCGTTCAACGCCAAAGCATGGGGGTTATATCCTGCATTCCTTTGGGGGGGTGTACATAGTGTGCGGCACCTCCCTCCTCCCGCCATTTTTTAGACGATTTATTTTCGATACGAACTTGTCTTCGAGGGGAAAGTGCCCAAAATACGATAAAGATGGAGTCATTTTCAACATGACACAATTTTCTGGTCCGGTTGTAAAAGTGGTGCAAGACTACTGGGTTGGGTACAGCGCAGACATTCCTTAGATGCTAACAAAAAACCAACACGCACGGTGGTGCCAAAATCCAACAGATCGTCGTCAGAACCATGCCAAGAAGCTATTTAGCTAAACTCTGTACCCACAGACAAGCACCTGCATATTCGGGGGGAGAGCCCACGGAAGAGACCGCTTACTCCAGACAACGCTATGATCTGCCTGGCACAGTCAAGGCTGCCCGAGTACTTGCCCGCGGACAGACCTTGAAGGTTGGATTTTACCGTGTCGATCGGATGCGTCACGACCTGCGGGCGCCCACAAACGACCCGTCGCAAGCAGAACGGTTGGATCGGCGCTACCGCCGGTTTAGGTAGCGGGACATGTGCGAACTTTAACGGAGATGAATCGATCCTTCTACTGCCAGCCTTTTGCAAACAGCACGCAGCATATGACGCGATTAGTCTCCACCCGCACAATTTGGTAGTGCGTGAATAGAACCGAAAACAGGCGCAGAAGAACCCGCACACATCCCATCGCAGTAAGACGCATCCAATCTCGGACGCACTTGGGGGATGCCTAAAAGGGGGGCCTGATGAGGTCCGCGGTAGTCTCATCTCACCGCACTGACAGCCCCAGCTGCCGCCCCAAGACCGAACACCGCTCCCGCAGCGAGCGCCTCGTCGGGCGAGTCTCCGCGAGACCTTCAGTTATTGATGCACGCGCCCGACAAGAGAGCATCGACTCCGGGTCAGCTCGAGTAGACAACGGGGTTGGGCACACCAGTTGTCCACGTGAGGGCATGAGTGAGTTGCACGGCCCACCCACCAGCGCAGGCCGAGACGAGCAAAAAATCAACGCCCGTTGCATGGGAGGTGTCCGTTATTAGGACAGCCAGACCGAAATCGAACATGAGTGTTGCACCGGAACCCTTCGGACGGGTGTGACTTGTTCGTGGTGTCTGCGGGCTCACCGTCGGAGGGCCGCCGACGTCTCGTTGTACAGGCCGAACCGGATGCAGTTGTTCACCGCGCCCTTCACGACCGTCGGCCACATGCCACTGAAGAACCCGTTCCTGAGCCCCTCTCGGCGGAGGATCTCGCCCAAGGCGTACACGAAGCCTCTTTCGTGTTTGTTTGATCAACGTTTATTGCGTGTTGTTCGCGAGCGTTGCGGAAGGGAGAATGGACACGGGAGAACAGGGGTGTGGGCGTTGTTTTGGAGTGTGTATTTCCGGCAGGATTGCAGCGCGCTCGACAGGTTGAAACAAAATTGTTGGAATATGCAGCAAACCACTTTGACGAGGAAGGTGTAGAACTGAGGTGACGCACAAGGATGACTCGGTGCTCGTCAGTGGACCACTCAACGGGCGAACTACGGAGTCCCCCCAAGATGTCCATGGACAATCCAGGCTCACACAGTTGGACTTGCAAGATGCAGCCCTGACATTCACATCTTATATCGCGACGTTTCTTCATGTCATGTTTCGATTCTCAAGACGAACGTTCTGGTACTCTGCGTATGTAAGCCCGGCAGCTTTCATCCTACCTGTCCATCTGCATCATTTTGATCTGGATGTTCTGGAGGGGGGTGAGGCAGGTGGCCGACTCAATGGCGCCGGCCACTGTGCCTGCCGCGAGAGCATTGACGGCGTCAACTTTACCCTGGCCCTCCTGCAGCCACTCCGAGACGCGCTCAAACGTGGTGAAACGTATCGCGGACCTGGGTTTGCGCGGAAACACGTATTGGAGGTTGCAGACAATCGTGGCACGCAGGGACAAGAGCGTGGGTCATGTAGATCAGTATCGCAGCGAAGTACGCAAACCGTTCATACACCCATCATTCTTACAGACTTAAGGAGCTCTCTTAAAGACTCGAGAAGGCCGGCAAGCATCGAACACGCGGCGTGATGTTCCTGCTGTTGCCACGGGATCGAATCAAGAGAAGAAACGGGGAAGGAATGTCTCGTCGCTGGAAATCACGGATGGCAGACTGGCACCACCACACGGTTAGTGTTGTCGGTAGACTCCGTTGCTCTCCTCTCGGGAAGGAGAACGCTTGGTTGTGGCAGGGAGAAGTTTCAAACACCTATGGGAGAATACAAGCGAGATACACTTAGAGGTACAGTACTGGGCCCTCTATAGTGCAGGGGAGTGTCCATAAATTTTACCTGCACTATAGCGGGCACCTGCACTATTCAGAATAGTGCGTCAATAGTGCAGGTTCGGCGCTATTGAAGCTTTGAATATACCTCAATAGTGCAGGTCCGGCACTATTGAGGAGATGCTTAATTTCATGGTGTAGCGCTCATGCGTCGCGGGGCTGACAGAGTACGAAATGGATCGAATTACAGCAGTAGTGCTGGGCCCTGTTCTAGCGTGGGTGTGGGCAGGCTGTCCCGCGACCCGTGTGGTTCCCCCCTGTCGCACACACAGAAATGTAGAAAAATTACTTGCGAGTTGAATCGTTACTTTCTTCCTGTCTCGGCACTCATAACACTGCACACCGTGAACTGTCGCATGAACCAATCCTTCAACATTAATACTTAGTAAACGAAGCTATATCTCAGTCCTCGCCGCCCTCGTTCGATGTTCCAAGATAAAAAAAAAAGAACACGCCAGGAACCGCCCTACAAGAAAACAAACAACCACTTCTGCTACAGCTGTATGTAACCCCGCCCTCACTACGTCGCGAAAAATTATCTCATGTCTGCCTGGCGCATCCATCAACTTGAAGATCTCAAGCTTCGTGTTGTTGTCCGGCCGCGCACGAGAACCAGATCCCTTCTTACTCCCCGCCATTGTTTTCTTCGGGCGTGCGTTTAGATGGATGGTCCCGCCCTAGCACCCTCAGCTGGTGTCGCTTTGCGCTTGCCAGCCTTGTCGCCGCATTTGCTGCAGATGCGGTGCTTTTCGTCGTCCTCAAACATGCTGCCGCAATTGCCGTGGAGCCGCCCGCCACACCCTCCCTTGCAGACGGGGCCATGAGGGGCTTGCGGCGTACTGCTTGTTGATGGCGGCACAGTTCACCGTCCGCACAAGGCTGCGTGAGCTGTCGGGTCTGCAGCAGCACGTGTACCCTGGTTTCTGTGTTGCGTCTGTCCGCTGTCTTACTTATCCGTGTGTTTATTTTACTCGCATCGACCTCGCTAACCGGCTGACCAATGGTCAGTCTTAGTGCGATTGAAAAAATAAAACACTTCTAGACTAGTCTAAATGGGACGCCATGAGGGGGCGGCTTGGGGGAGGCTAAGCTATTTCCGGATCAAAGACAGAAACGGTAGCTACAGAAGATTTGCACGTACGTGTCGATGAAGGCTGCTACCTTGCACTCTAGTTCGTTCTGGAGTGTCACCGCCATCCTCCTTCCTTTCAACTCCATCGTTCTCACTTTCGTTTGTGTGTGTGTCCAACCTGCACTATTGCGGGGCACCGCGGTGCCCAACCTGCACTATTGCGGGGCACCGCGGTGCCCAACCTGCACTATAGCGGGACTGCCCAATAGTGCAGGTCCTGCACTATTTAGGGCGCATTCTGTGTCCAGAGATTTCACCTGCACTATACCGGGCACCTGCACTATAGAGGGACCAGTACTGTACCGGAAACCAGGAGTGTGCTTGTTTGCGGCCGTGGGTCATACCTGGGCAGGGCAAACGTAAGCCACGGCGGGAGACCAACGTACAGGCCGAGTATCCCGCTATGTCGTAGAGTCTGGGTAGCACAATGAAGGGGGCCCTGAAGAAACCAGCCAAACGTGACGGACGAGAAGACAAGTTACGAGTGGGATCACCTGTTCCAAGGAGGGTGAGGAGAGCGCTCCTGATCTTTCGTGAGCAGTTTGACTTGCGTAGCCTTGGCGAGCTTAGTCCAGGATGCAGAAGCTGCTGGTACGTCCACGCATTGACGCGGGAGTTGGCTGGGGCTGCGACTCGGGTTGCTTGCACCACATCTGTGCGTGAGGTATTATCGACCATTGTGAGAGAAATAGAAAAACAAACTTCAGACAGCACACATGGGATGGACTTGTCTCCCAAACCACGACCTTTCCTTTCTGGGGGACAGATGCGTTGAGCTGTGACCCCAAGTTGATATACGCTGCATGTTTTGCCCAAGGGTGATGTTTGGTCACATCCTACTGCAACCCGTTTCAGGCAAGATGCAGTCACAGTCCACATGGATACGGTTGGTCGGGACGAGACGCGGTCACATAAGAGGCTTCAGTCTACGGCGGGGGATGCGCGGTGCCACAGGTCAATCGACACGTGTTCTCTTCGAGGCACCGAGCCGATGATTTTAGTTGCCACCTCGTGATCTCTCGATCAAATTGCCAGAGTCGCACCTTGAATCGAGGCGTGCCTTTGCCCTTCTCTTGTAGCTGGAGTTGTACCTTGATATACCTGTGTGGGGAGGCAGGTAGGCGGAAACGACCGTGTGAAAATGGGGACACGCAACCCTTGTGGGAACGTTGATTTGTGCGTTTGCCAAGCGTTGCTCGAGGAGAACACTTGGATTTTACCACAGAGCAGCTTGCAGATCCGCGCAAAACTGCACAACATATCAAGAATATGGCCGCAGTATACTTTCTCTCACTCTCAATACGCCACCTCCCCAACCCTCTCCCGCTGCTACCGTCTAGACCTAGTCTACAGCAGCAGTGGTGTAGCTGTTTGGCACATGCTCTGACAATGGTTGAACTCACTCGAATGGAAAAGTCAAGCATATTTCGAGGCCCCCAGCAATTCCTCCTGACAGGAAAGGGTGCTTCGGCTGGTATCTTGCTTCAGAAGCACGGTTGTTGTTGCCAGTGCCATTCCTCTCGCCACCAGCCATATTTCATGTTGCACGTTTTGCACGCACACACCACCGAGCTGCAGACACCCCGGGGCATCCGCAGAAATGCGGCACAATTTTCACAGGAGGGTGTTCGTTGGTTTCGGCGGCGTTCGGGCTTCGCGAACCGAAAGCGATCATCCCGCGTTCATTTTCGCCGATCGTCGCTACCTATGCATGATAGTCTCACATGCACACATGACCATCATCAGGGCAACCCAGCTTTATTCTCACGGGAGTGCTCCGGCACACCCTTTATTGCAAACGCAAACTATCTCCTTCTCTTCGGCTTATCTCCCAGCACATACGGGACGAGGAGATGCGCGCGGTGCGGAAGAGTAGGTTGATCTCACCTCTTTCTTCGCGGCTGTGTTGAGGAGGCACGCGGCACACGAGCACAATGCACAGCGCGAAGAGACCGCTGCACAAAAGAGCAGGCCGTTCCGGAGATTTTCTAGCTCCAGCCATGTCCTCTACTGCTTTGGACGACCTCAATCATCTCGACACCCATGTACGGGGGCAGGCCAGCCATAGAAGAAAAATCTCAGTACAGCAGTGGCATCACGCATGTTGTGGCAGGTTCAGAAATCTTCCGATAAACATATAGTAGAAGAGATCTACCACAGCAGTAGATAGGCGAACATGAGTCGTCCGCCGGTAGAATGTAAGTTTACGACGTTGTACGACTAAACGGCAGTCATGCCCCCATTCGTGCCGTTCGTTGATTGCTTCTGGTAGCTGCCACCCGAACTCGCTCGTTTGCTGCCCCACTCTGTTTGGTTCGTTTCTTTGCTCTGGCAACGCCGCTGCTTGTTGACGGACTCGCAGGTCCGGTTGGGTCGGGACGGTCAGGATACTGATGCTGGGTGTGCCGAGACGGTGAGCACGTTATCGGACGGCTTCCACGAGCTCCAAGACATCAGCTCTCGGAAAAACCGAAAACAACTCACGTCTACGGAATATGCTTTGCAAGAGATCAGGTACGCAGCTGCTGCAGGATACTCCGGCTATCGATCACTGGTGTGTGTAGCACGCACGCCCTCAGTTGACCCCCACCGGGAGATGCACCGGAAGTTCAATGCAATATAAGGTTGTTGTTGTTGTTGTTGTTGTTGTTGTTTTTGTTGCCTTTACATTAATAACCTTAGACGGTGAAAGTACTGCACGGTGGGCAGAAAGAGGCCGCCCCTCTCCTTCGATTGTGTGTGCACTTCGAGTGTGTGCAGTGTGCAAACGTCGGTTGTTACATCCACAGCAACATCCCCGTTCACAGAAGGGTACACCCGATCATCTCATGGGTTGTGAACGTTGGGTTGTGTACGTTGAACGTTTGAGCTATTTGGCAACGAATACCACCAAATCCCCTGCACCACAAGGAGCCGTGTGCGAGCCATCGACGAGCGGTGGGAAGAAGTGAACGTCAGAGCGACCAACACTCTCGACAACATCGAAGAGGATGACTTGGACGAGAAGGACCCAGGCAGAAAACGAAGGAGCTCGAACCCCGTGATCGACAAGCGCAGAGAAGCAGGTAGAACGACGTACAGACATAAACAAGTTACGCGGGCAGGTTGGGAATGCTGAAAGACGACCATGTGTACAGCAGTAGAGTGACTGAATCGGCGCACGGGGATTGATTCTCCATCAATCGCTGCTGCTGTGTATGATAATCAGGAACCGCCCTGTACTCGATCTACCTGAGCACGATTGTTTGGATTTGTATTATGGAGCGCTGTGCAATCAACCAGACACCATTGTTTTTCATCTTTTGTTTTTTACAACTTGAGCACGTTGCAGGTACGATACAAACAAACCGTTGACTCTTTTCGTTTTTCCCCCCCGCACGACCTCAGCGCGCAAGTTCTCTCTGCGTGGGACCCACGAACATCCTCCCACGAAAATGCTGGAGATATCCGGGGCCACGACGTGGCGCAACGATATCGGGGACTCTGGGCGCGCGGTGACGCGAGACGAGCGAGTCGCGATGGCGCTGGCACAGTCTCACGAGAACCTCGCGGCGGCGGCGGCGAGGTTCGAGGAGTCTCAAGAGAAAAGCAGCCAGCTGCTTGGCGGGCTGCGTGGCTGGCTGGACAGGTTTACGGGTACAGCGAGGCCTGAGGACATCAACCCCATCGCGGCGATGCTTCCGGAAGCCGGGCTGGAGGACGAGGTGGTGGCCCTCATGACAGACTGCCAGGTGAACGAGAGGGGCATACTCTCCACGGGCGTTAGTGAAGTTTGAATAGTTCGTGGTTTGGCTCGGCTTGCCTGTGGGGCAGGCCTCGTAGAAGCGAGGGTGAGAGCAGTTAAAGAGTGATGCGGGGATGAGATACAGTATCCTCTCGTGGCTATGTTGTCCTCTTTATACGCATGTTATTGTTGCAGATGGTAATCGTTTACCGATCGCTACCAAGTGTCGTTGGGTGTACGTGTTCCTGATGTGTTGTACTTATACCCAGTGAAGATAGGTACGTGTTCTGTCGGTTCGTCTTGCTCATTCACCGATATGTTCCTGTTGCATCGAGAAGACTGCGTTCTATGCTCCACGTCCGATCCCTAGACATAGATTCAGTCGCTATCTTCCTGTTGTTTTGTGTTAATGCTTCGTTCGACCCGTTTTTTCCTCTCTTGTCGCCAATTATACAACGACTGATGCTCAATACGTGAACAGATTTCCTCCCTCCATTCACTTCCGCTCCAAGATGCCGCCCTCAAAATCAACCAAACACGCCTCGTTGAACCCCCATGACGCAAAGTCCACATGAACAGCCAGTTTCGCTAGAATTACGTTTTCTGTCTTTCGTCGGGCAACTTACTATTCCTTTCATTTCGGCCAGGATGCCGCCATCATACTAGAGCACTCGACCAACCGGCATACGGAGCAGCTGCGGGAGATATTTTGCCAAGCTGGAAAACTTTACGGCTCCGAGATTGACAAGTAAGACAAACGAGAGACGGCGGGTGCTGACCGAGTAGCACATTGTCGAAAAAAGATGGGCCCCAAGAAGTCATGTGGGCAAAGCAGCAGTAAAGTTTGAACGCCTCTCCAAGCCCTACACATAAAATGAAAACAAAGGCTGCGTGATATCTTATCGTGCCCCTCATCAACATTCCTGCTGTCACCATACGCGTTGCTTTGTGTCTTGGCGGATTCCACGACATCCCGAAACGAGAGCTCCGAACGGACGGGGCTGGCATCCCGCCCCCTCCGACTGCCTCCGATCAGCGGCTGAGTCGAAGTGTCTACTTTCAAATGCCCCATTTTCCTCTACAGCGATTTGAGAATCGCTGAAAGAAGTGCCACCGTGTGAAAGCAAACAATTGCATGACTTGTTGGCTGTGCCCGAGGCACCGCAGCACGAGCTCTTCCATTACCAGGGATCATGATATCCTCTCAGCACATTGTGCTTTTGACAATGCATCACTGTTGTTGTTCTCTGATACATCCTCGCGAACCTCCCCCTCTATTGATATATTCTCTTTGCGGTGGCGACCACGTTAGGGTCCAAAAGAAAGGGTCAGCTGCTTCCAGAGCGGCGCGCGAGAAGATCGCGGGTCTCCAGGAGCATGCGAACAAGGTGGAGGCGCTTCTCCAATCCATGCAGGCGAGTATGAAACAAGGTTCTGAGTTGAAGATCACGACTTCACGCTGCTGCCGATGTAAAAGCGTAGGGCGACCGCCCGCAGCGCGGGGGACGTGTATATTGGAATGTTGGGCCCCCTTCTTTTGAAAAAAACATTATTATGTGGTGAGCCTGCCTGCATGATGTAGAATGGGTTTCTGCCCGGATGATTAAATGACACCATCTTCGCCCAAAGTCCTCGGTATCGTTGTGCGCTCGCTTTCGGCCGAGCCAAATCGGGTACACCTGCCTTCTTTCCCCGCCTACCGCAGGACGAGCGAGCGCATCTTCACACAAAGTTTTCGGGGGCCGAGCAGCGCTGCCGCTGGCTGGAGGAGCGCTATCGAGAAGACAAAACAAGGCTTCAGGAGGGGATTAGCAATTACCGGTACGTGGGTGGGATATGAGTCCTCAACGTATCACACGTGTTGCACCGAAAGTTGCGCGGGGCTTGTGCATCTGGCATTTGGTGAACGGCCTCGTTTGACCTAGGATGGCGTTTCCCATGTTTTGATCTGGCAAACTCCCTCACACAGTGTATACAAGGTGAATGTATGGCACGTGGCACATCGCAAAAAGTATGGCGACTCAGTGCGTTTGGCACCTATCTCGTCAAGTAGACCGGTTTTGTGGCTTTGCTCGTCTTGTGTATTGATTATGTCGAGTCGTCAAACCGGTACGTCTACCTGCCTGTGTTGTGTAGCATCTCTTCCGCGGTCGCTATGGTACGGGGCAGCGTAGAACCTGGGCCGAACTGGCGTGTTCCTCACCCGGAGGCCAGCCGCCCCCCCTCCCGTCACTTGTCGGAGACACGACAAATCGTTAGCGCGAAGTCCATGGCCCGTTGCCGTCGTTTTGTTTGCGTGAACCAAACCCTTTCAGGCACCAGGTTATACAGCTACAGCACGTTGTGGCCGGATACGAGGACAAGGCCCGAAAACAGGAGCAAATAGACAGGTCATGCGGCACTTAGAGCGTGCGGTCAGCCTTTGTTTTGCTTCTAGAAGGGCAGGGAGGGCAGAAGGGCAAGGCACACCGTCGTTTCAATTTCATCTGTTTTTCGTTGCGGTCTCCCTTTCATCAGAGCTCCAACCGACGTCTTTGGACATCGTACGAGAGGCGGTAGAGATGTAATTTCCACCACAGGGATAACCATCATAAAAGTAGGCGGCGTCGGCCTCAAATATCCTGTCGCCTTTGTTGCGCGGTGCTTTGACCGATCGGTCTCTTCCGAGCTCAACACTGCAGCTACTCAAGAAAATTCTAGACGCAGATAATCAGATACCTCGTGGCTTTTGTTATCTTCGGGAGAGCTAAAACGCACACGGGCAAACGAACCCCGCAAGCGCGGGACCCGACGTTGTAGTAACCATGCGTGCTTGCAT